CTCAAATGGAGAAATTTGCATTTAAAGCAACAAACTTTTGAGCAAGATGAAATATGTTCTTGTTTAAAAGATGCAGCAAAGTCAGGATTTGGATTGTATAAAAAGGATTTATATTGAACAAAGTATTAAAGGAAGATATTTCTATAGTGTGATATACAAGAATAGAGTTGCCTTGATGTGTTTAATTTATTTCATGAATGCATTTCTGGTACATAAAATATTACTGTTATGTTAATGTTCTGAGCTATTCAAGGTTAAGTGATATGGGAGAGAAGCAAAAATAGCTCTGCATATCTTATTTAGATATATTGAAGAGCACAAAATAAAAATTGAAAAATTGAAGTACCTCTTCCACAAAATTAAGTAACTAATCATTATATAAATAGCAATCACATGGTTTAAATGTAATGGTTTGGGACTAGCAGCATGACCTAAATTTTATACTCTTCTTCAGTTGGTTGACTTTAATAAATGCAACTATATATATGTTTGACTGTGAACTCTTGCTAAAGCAAATTATATTGCTTTGGAGATAATGGTCACAATAAACTATTACCTGCGTGCATAAATTTATATGTATTCTCTAATAAAGTAAGAATTAGTGTGTTGTGACCTACAGGTAGGAAAATTGTTAATTCATGCTTATGCAGGTAATCCTCACTTATCCAACCACTTGTTCAATGACCACTCAAAGTTACAGTGGTGTTAAAAAAGGAGACTTATGGGTGGTCCTCAAAGTTGCAGCTGTGATAGCTTCCCCACAATCATGTAATTGCAATTTGAGCACTTGGAAACTGACACACATTTACAACAATTATAATGTCCCACAGTTACATTATCACCATTTGCAACCTTAGCAATGATTTTGTTCCAAAAAACAAAATCAATGGAAACTAGCATCAAGTCACAAATTGCAGTCAGTTGATGTGACACTTAACTTGGGGTGATTCGCTGAACAACCATAGCCAGAACTGATGATGTAAGTTGTGTACAGTCACATGACTTTTCACTCTACATTTGCATCATTTAGCAATGGAGTTTCCTGTCCCAGCTGTGCTATGTAAATGGGCAGAACCTGTAATATGCTTGGTCACTGATAAAACTAGAGCAGTGTTAAGCTAGCTAGTTACCAAAATCTCTAGTACCTTCTTTGGATTGATTAACCAGCTGTTTTTGCTCATTTGCTGATTCTTACCCCTCCTCAGAACTCATGGTAGCCTGTTGTTCATATCTCCTCTTTGTTTTCAAATAATCTGCATAAACCAGAGAGTGCAAAAGTTGGTTTGAAACACTTCTTTTTAAAAAACAAACAAACCTAAGATCATGGCATCCAGCCACTTCCTGGCAAATAGAAGGAAAAGAAATGGAAACAGTGACAGATTTAATTTTCTTGGGCTCCAAGATTACTGTAGATGGTGACTGCAGCCATGAAATTACAGGTAGTCCTCAATTTACAACAGCGCTGTTAGTGACCATTCAAAGTTACAGTGGCACTGAAAAAAAAGTCTTATGACTGTTTTTCACATTTATGGCTGTTGCAGCATTGGTTACATGATCAAAATTCAGATGATTGGCAACTGACTCATATTTATGACGTTTGCAGTATCCTGGGGTCATGTGATCATCTTTTGTGGCCTTCTGACAAAGTCAATAGAAAAGCCGGATTCACTTAACAACCAGGCTACTTACTTAAGTAGCGATTCACTTAACAACTGTGGCAAGAAAAGTCGCAAAATGGGGCAACATTCGCTTAACAACTCTCTTGCTTAGCAACAGAAATGTTGGGTTTGATTGTGTTAGTAAAGTTGAGAACTACCTGTAAAAGATCATTGCCCCTTGGGAGGAAAAATTTGGCAAACCTAGCCAATGTATTAAAAAGCAGAGACATCACTTTGCTGACAAAGCTCCATATAATCAGAGCTATGATTTCCTCAGTAGCAGTCTATGGCTGTGGGAATTGGACCATAAGGAAGATTGAGCACTGAAGGATTGACACTTTTGAATTGTGGTGCTGGAGAAGACTCCTGAGAGTCCTTTGGACTGTAAGAAGATCAAATCAGTCAATCCTAAAGTTAATCCTCCCTGACTGTTCTTTGGAAGAACACATGTCAAAGCTGACTCTCAAAATACTTTGGCCACCAAATGAAAAAAGAGGACTTATTGGAAAAAACCCTGATGTTGGGAAAGATTGAAAGCAAAAGGAGAAGGGGACAGCAGAGTGATGAGATGGTTAGTTAGTGTCATCAACGCAATGAACATGAAATTGAGCCAACTCCAGGAGGCAATGGAGGAGACTGGTGTGCTATGTAGTCCATGGGTCATGAAGAGTTGGACATGACGTAGGGACTGAACAATGTTGAATATGAACTGAAACATCCCTGCTCTTTTCTGACTGCAATGAAAATTGAAAAGGAAGGTGCTAATAGGAAAGATTTTGATTTCCATAATCATGTCTTAAAATTTAATGTCTCGGTAGAATTGCTGAATATAAGATAAACTCTGAATCATTATGGTGCATATAATTGAGCCATCTAAAATATAATCTATTTGGCTTCATCCTTTTATCAGATATATAGTATGAGAAAATAGAATTCACATGTTTAGTTTTGCAGTTTCTGATTTCATGTTAACAGTTAAATCCGTCTTAGAAATGGAGTACTAGAAGGCTTTTACAAAAGCATTCTGTCTCTATATAGATCAGTGACCCAGACTCTGTTCTTAAAGAATGACCGCTTTCAATTGCAGTCTAGCTGGAGAAATTGTGGATTGCCAGCTGCATGGCAAGTGAAAGAAGGAAGATTGTATCTGCTTGCTTGATTAGAGTCAATGACAATAAAAGAAGAAATTTTAGGAAAGTTCTGAGCAAATCTGAGAAGGGAATCAAATTTGAAAGTAATTAAATATTTTATATCCATACATAAATCTTGTATGATATGAATTGAAAACTATATCGTGGCTATTTCATTATTTAATTAAACATAGAAGACACACTATTCCAGACAAGTCCATTCAATGTATACTTTTAAAAACAGGGTGGATAAAAATCAATGATTTTTTTTAAAAAAATAAAAAAACCCAGATTTTTTTAATTTAAATTGGATTTTTTTGATTTTTATCGAATTTATTTTAATAAAAAAGTTTTGGGGTAAAAATCTATCGTAAGATAGTTTTCTATTTAAGATACATAAATAATTTAATTTATTCAGCATGAAATGGAGCTTAGTTATGTAGCATGAGGCTGTATATTCTGCAACACTGGGACTATCGGTGACTCAACAGTGGGTCAAAGGAGTAGCAGAGATGACAGTTGCTCTTTAAAAATTACGATTTAAATCGAGTTGATTTAAATCAAGCCTTTTTACTAGTGATTTAAATCATGATTTAAATTGTGATTTAAAGCAACTCGATTTAAATCAAATCCACCCTGTTTAAAAATAAAGAAGAAAATTAAAAAGGAATTATGTTTGGGAAAAACCACCCACTCTACTACAAGGACTGGGAAAGCAGTTGGGTTTTAGAAGGGTTTTTGGAATATTGAGTAGGAGCTGTATAGATCCCTAGGGGAATACTCTTGTAGTGGACAGGCATCACAACTTTCTCTGTTGTGATACCTGACCATGCTCTATAAGTAGAAACTATTGATTATCCATTCTGAGCTCTACATGGCAATCTAAAAATCTAAAGGTATCTCAGATTTCTATTAATTGAAATAGAATTAATTTATTCAGATTTGAAAATATTCAAATCTGAATAAATGTGGAGAAAATGATAAGAATTTCAAAAGTATGTTGTTATTCTTGAGTATCAAGTAGGCTTAAGAAGACTCGATAGTCTTGCAGTCTATTATATAGTACTGTATGGCCAACTTTGGTGTTAACATTTTTTCCGATTTATGAGCCTCACAGAAAATAAATACATTACACAAGTAGTTGAGTTTAGAATTATACGCTTAAATCATGCCAGTCATTAAGTGTGTCACCATGCAACCATACCTGAGTTTACAATTTTTGTTGTGACTGTTGTTAAGTCTTAAGCAAATGCATTGTCCTCAGTGGGCATTTTGTTTTTGCCAGGAACTGGAAGTAAAGGCTAGTTTCTGGCAAAATACATAATAAATTGCAGTCACATGACCAACAGCCATAAATACAGGCTGGTTGCCAAGCATCCAAAATGTGCCACTGGGGGTCATTAGAACTTCAAATCTGGGTCATATGTAGCCCTGCGGAATCTGTCATAACTTTAGCTTAATGACTGGTCATAAGTTGAGGACTATCCTTACACAGACAAGAACATCAAATTTCTAGTATAACCCCTCTTCTCTTCCTCTTATAATATATATTATGTTAAAGATTTGGTTGACAGGAACTTTCCAGTCTTTGGGGCACAATTCAGTGATAAATTTCCATGATAGATAATGTAGTTAGTTCTTCTCATGCATTGCCAGAAAATATTTTCACATCTTCCCAGCAATTCCTCCTATGCCTTCAAAAACTATTTTAGGAGAGTTCTCCAAACTTTAAAGTAGGTACCAAATGTTTAATGCAATATGAGCAAATTTAAAGATTTTATTTTTTCTTTTCTATTTCATCATATTTGTTTCTAATGTCAACTAAATTACAAAGTTGGCATTTTAACAGAAATTAAAATTGCATGTACTTAATATTGACTTGTTTACACACTATAGTTGAAGCCAAACTCAATGCCTTTTCAAGTGAAATTATAAGTTTGCTATTTGAAAAGGGAAACAGGATTTTGCAAATACTTACTCAAAATTATACTAGAATTATAGGAAAGCCTAATAATTATTCATCATATTATATTCTTAAATTGATTCAATGGTTTATCCAGATGAAATTGCAATTAAAGCATAAATGTTTATTTAGTTCTTCTCAAAGATTGTGACATATTTGAAATTTTGTCTAATTGCATCAGACAATTCTGTCATTCTGGTGATTAAATACTTGATCTGAATAACAAAACATTATTTTTTTGGCTTCTAGCTCATCAGTCTACTCAGCTCATACCTGACAACTATATTAAAAATGGCTGCTAGTAAGGCAAAAAGTCAAAGCTCTCTTGCCCTTCACAAAGTAATCATGGTTGGTAGTGGAGGCGTGGGCAAATCAGCTCTTACACTTCAGTTTATGTATGATGAGGTAAGATATTTGTTCCTTTTCTATTTATAGGTATTAAAATGATGTGCTATAGGGTCTGCACAAAATTGCTTTTAATGTGCATTGTGGGACATCAATACAAGACCATAAATTTGTAGAACATTTTTCAGAAAGAGAAATAATTTTATTCTTTTTTTTCCCTGTTGGTAGTGTATATTAAATCTCATAGTTTTAAATATAAGAAGCATTCTAGAATAGTCAGCAAAATAACATCTCTTTATAACTTTTTATCCTTGAAACATTTTTTTTTCTTTTCAAAACCAATATACCATTTCATACATTTATTTTTTTCTTTAAATTTCACAGTTCTCTAAGAATGTAATCATATATAAGAAAGTGGCAGAAATTCTTAAAGGAGCCATATTGCTACATTTTCGATGTATACCAGTAATTTCCTGAAGCATTATTATTTTCAACATTTTAACGGCCTGTTTTCACCAACATATACAGCATTCATTTCAATTCTAGCCTTAGACATGTAATTATTTATATAGAAAATTGTTCTGCATGGCCTTTGTCATTTTTTTCTTAAGCATTCCTTGCTCTCTCTGACTACATTCTTTCAAACTTTTGTTCTTGTCAACATACATTCTTTTTCTCTTTTACAGCAGTAATTCTTTGCTGTGTATGTTTCTCATCCATGTCTTCTTTCATTTAATGATTCTGCTGCAAATTTTTATACTTCAGGTTCTCACTACTATTTCATAATTGCATACACCTGGAGTAATTCCGTATATTCTCTCCAAGGGGTTTTTTCATTCTCTTTTCTTACATTCATTCATTTTATTAGGAAATTAATTTATCTTCTACATTTTTTCCACATAAAGCTCTTATTTCTCCCCTTCTACTTTCTCTCTAATAATTTTTATTTTTCTGGGGTTTTTTATGTCCATTTTCTGAAGATCTATTGTTGACACTGCCAGAAACAGTGGCTTTTTTTAAACTGAGAACTTCTAATCCCCTTTATACCCTTTCCTGATGCCAGTAATCTTTAATCTACTAACAAATTATGAAAGTGGTCATACTTAATTATTCATTGTTTTTCTATGTATTCATATGTATTGACTTAAACTATATACAGGTAATCCCCAGGTTATGAGTGTTCCCATAGCGAACATTCAAAGTTACACAATCAGCGCCCCCTAGTGTTTACGAATAAGTCCCGAAACTACGAATCTTGCAGCACCATGGCAGTTGTTCACCCTTACAAAGGCTCTGTAAGAGGCTCTGCAACATTTGTCCTGCACTTCACGGGCCAAAATGCTAGAATCTTATTTCTATTGTTTTATGCTTTCTAGTTTGTTGAAGACTATGAACCAACCAAGGCTGATAGTTACAGAAAAAAAGTTGTTCTAGATGGTGAAGAAGTTCAAATAGATATTCTGGATACAGCTGGGCAAGAAGATTATGCAGCTATTCGAGACAACTATTTCCGGAGTGGAGAAGGTTTTCTTTTAGTTTTCTCCATAACTGAGCATGAATCCTTTACAGCCACAGCAGAATTTAGGTAAATATGATCTCTAGATGCTTTCATTGGAGTTTGATTTTTGATTGAATCTACAATGTGTCCAAAAGAAAGATGTCAACTTTCCTTTTATTTCCAGAACACATTAAGCTTTGAACGGCTGCTAAACTGAACAGGAAAATACTTAACATTGGAAGACGCAAAGGCTACTGACTAAATGTGGCTGTGGGGGTTGAATTTCTGTAGAGATTTTACTATTTAATTCTTTTTTAGAATAACAGAGTTGGAAGGGACCTTGGAGGTCATCTAGTCCAATCCCCTGCTTAGGCAGGAAACCCTACACCACTTCTCCTTCCGTTGATGTGAATCTTTGCAATAGCTGTAACTCTACAAAACACAAATGCATTTTATATCGGTATATTAGTTTATGGAGCCAGTGTGGAATAATGGTTAAGTTGCTGGACTGGGAGACCTGAGTTTTGACCTTCCTTATGAATGGGCCACTTTGTCTCTCAGCCCTACACTGAGAAGTTAAAAGTCTCTACAGTGGGCTCACATAATACATTTAAGGTTTGTAATTTGGCCTGCTGTTTATTGTTTTGGCATAACGGTAATAGTAATAGCTAATAATTTTTTGATCTGATTGTGCTAATACGGTGTTGTGCTTTGTTGATGGGGAGTGTGATGCTTTCTGTATAATGTGTACACTTCGTACTTAATCTGTTTTCAATGGATGGATGGATGGATGGATATAGATAAAATAATAGGTAAAATAGATTGCATCAGTTGCAGTAAAATATTATATTTTGAATGGAAACCGGAAGAAAGGCACATTATTTGGGTCTTGCCAGATGGAACTCTTTGGTAGTTGGGACCTGCAGCCTACTATTCTGCTTGACCAGTAAGTGTAATATGCAATAGCATTGCAATTCCTTGGCATACCACACTTATTGCTTCTGACATGTATGCATTTTGCACCCTAGCAAGAAATAATGATTAAGGCCATATCTACCATTTTGCTTTTAATATGCTATACTAGAGAACAGATTCTCCGTGTAAAAGCTGAAGAGGATAAAATACCGTTACTAGTAGTGGGAAACAAATCAGACTTGGAGGACCGTCGACAAGTGCCTGTAGAAGCTGCTCGAAGTAAAGCAGACGAGTGGGGGGTGCAGTATGTAGAGACATCAGCAAAAACAAGAGCAAATGTAGATAAGGTAAAGTAAGAGTTTGTTTTCATTAGTATTTCATAAATGAGATTGTCAGATCGCAGTTGACAGTTTTTTAAAATTGTACTTGTATTTAAATGTAAGGCAAAAGAATTTGGCACTTTGTGAGATCACCACATCTTATGGAAGATCTGAGAGTAATCACTACGCGTTATTAACCACTTTGATTTAATGAAAGAACTTGAGCAAATGGTGACATAATAAACTGTAGCTACCTTTTGTAAGGGGACTTTTTGTAGGGGACATGGTGGCTCAGTGGCTAAGATGCGAGCTTGTCGATCGAAAGGTCAGCAGTTCAGCGGCTTGAATCCCTAGTGCTGCATAACAGGGTGAGCTCCCAGCTTCTGCCAACCTAGCAGTTCGAAAGCACGTAAAAAATGCAAGTAGAAAAATAGGGACCACCTTTGGTGGGAAGGTAACAGCGTTCTGTGCACCTTTGGTGTTTAGTCATGCTGGCCACATGACCACGGAGATGTCTTTGGACAGCGCTGGCTCTTCGGCTTTGAAATTGAGATGAGCACCGTCCCCTAGAGTCGTGAATGACTAGCACATATGTGCGAGGGGAACCTTTACCTTTACCTTTTGTAAATAGAAGGATATCTTGATAGCCAACTTTTCAACTATTCCCCAAACTGCAAATCATACATATTAGCACAATACAGGTAATCCTCAATTTACGACTGTAATTCAAGACATCATGTGACCAGATTCAAAGTTACAATCACTTTTTAAGTCAACGTGGCAGTCATTAAGCAGCTCCATTTTCTTCCAATGGGCTCTTTTTTTGCTTGAAAGTGGAAATAAATGCTAGGAACCGCACAAAAAAATGTAACAAATCATGGTCACCTGATTGTGGGTTGCTGCAAGTGGCCATAAAGGAGAATTGGTTGACAAGCTCCAAAAATAGGGTCATATGACGAGGAGATATGTGTGCAGCATCGTAACTCTGAAAATGGGTTGTAAGTAGCTTTGGGAAAATACGTCACAACCTCAAATGGTCCCTAAACAACAGGTCATAAGTCAAGGACTACCTGTATAGCAGAAACTACTATAGACTTCCTGAAATAACACTTACAATATATTAATGCGATAATTGCCACAAATCTTACTGAAGCACACTTGGTTCCTTGCAGTTTTGTAAGAATAGATAAAAAGTGTTTACATACAGATAGTCCTCAAATTCCGAGCAAAAAATGACACCGGCAAAGTTGTCAGTTTTCTTTTCCTCACTAAACTAGCCTTAGCTCCGCCAGTGTTAGCGGAGCTATGGCTTTCAATAATGAGAAAAACAAATCGTCATGATTTTCTTTCATTCGCTAAAGCTAGCTTCACTTAGCTTGTGGAGCTAAGTCTAGCTATAGTGAGGAAAAGAAAACCTGAGAACCTTCACCAGCATTATTTTTTAACTCAGAAAAAGATGTCCTCTTTTGGGATTGTGTCATATGGCTCATCTTTATATACATCTTTACATTGAACATTAGCATGCGTATGTGCAGGTTAGATTCCAGTGGAATTTTTTTCTGAAGCTCTGTTAAATTTTGTTTTAATTCCCTGAGAGTTCCTGTACTTTCTGCACTAAACCATTTGTTTTGTGACAGTTTGAAGTTACAATGCACTGAAAAAAGTGACTTATGACCGTTTTTCACCGTTATGACTGTTACAGCATCTCCACGGTCCCGTGATCAAAATTTGGACACTTGGCAACTGACTCATATTTATGATGGGTACTGTGTGTTAAGGTCATGTGATCACTTTTTGCGACCTTCTGACAAAGGCCTGACAAAAGTCAAAGTCAGATTCATTTAACAACCGTGTTACTAACTTAACAACTGCAGTAATTCACTTAACAACTGTGGTAAGAAAGGTAGTAAAATGGGGCAAAACTCACCTAAAAACTGTCTCGCTTAACAACATAAATTTTGGGACCAATTGTGGTTATAAGTTGAGGACTACCTGTGTAACAAACTTGATGGTTAAAAATTAGCCATTTAAAATCACTATTTTGAATAAACAATATGTTTAGGGATTTGTTACCTTTTTTCATAGTATGTTGCATTAATTTAAAACATGCACTACTCCTTTATACAAGCCAGTTTCAAATGCTGATAATACTGTCTAGTTTTCTCTCTTTTTAGGTATTTTTTGATTTGATGCGAGAAATTAGATCCAAGAAAATGTCAGACAATAAAGATAAGAATGGCAAAAAAAGCAGCAAGAACAAGAAGAGTTTTAAAGAACGATGTTGCTTATTGTGATCTTTAAGAGCTTCACTTATAGGTGACAGTACTAACAAGACATTTTACTACTAACAATAGAGGACTGAATTAATAAGAAGAAATCTGAATTCAATACATTTTTCAACTCACATTGATATAAGAATAGAAGTTCAACAGATCCGTGTATATCAAGAAGGATGATTCTTGAAAGCAGCTGTCACTGGTAAACAGTAATGCAAGCATTTTTTCCTTTTATCATAAGCAATTTACCTGTTAGTCATATGGTGCACTCTGAATTTACCTCCGAATGCTGTTCCAAGGGCACTCCTCAACAACTCTTCACCATCCTTTTTTGTTTAAATGGCAAGTTTTCACTGATGTTCCACCAAAGTTACCTGTTTTTTCTTTGTGTCTTCATTTTGTGTGCTCTTAAAGGTTTAAGCCTTCGGTGATTTTTTCTTTTTTAAAACACAAGTTGACAAAATTGTATAGTGCTGCTTAAAATAAGTTACGGTGGTGTCAGTTTTGCTGTTTTGCCAACATATTAGATGGACAGTGTAAGGCTTTATCTTAAAAAAAAAAAAAAAAACCTGAGCAGTGAGTTAGATTTCCATAATGACTGTAGTAAATTTCAGAACATTACTAATTATACTATCTTAAATTGCGAGTAAATTAACTAGGCATCTTGAGGCAGAGGAGTTTCTAAGCTTAACCTAATTTTTCAGTACATTTGTTGAGGTACTGAAAAATTACAGTTCAGTACATTTGTTGAGGATTGTGGTATTTGAAATCCAAGATGTATGAATGACATCAAGCTAGAATTTTTTGGTTTATTCCATTGAGTAATTCTATCCTTCCTCCCAAAGGCTTGGTTTCCTCCCAAAACGTGGACATTTTTACTCATGGTGTTGTGATGGTTCGTGATCATGTATTGAAGCCATAGTGTTTGCTACATTTGCTCTCAATGTTTAACAGAAGAAGGGTATTTTTTTTTAATGTGAAAGTTCACATTCTGTAGTTTCATGAATTGGATACAGTCCTTGTTTTAAAAGTGGGTGGTTAAAAAAAAAAAGTTCACCAGTCCCTATCCTGCACTTACTCCATTTGAATGATAAAAAAAAAAATAAGAAACTTGTACAGAAAATATTTCTAGCAGTTTGTTTGAACCAGAGAAACTTAATGATGCATTACAGTTGGCTTTATTTTCTTTCTCCCATGAAAGTTGTTGGTATCTGTCTAGGTGATACCGTGTTTCCCACAAAATAAGACCCTGTCTTATATTATTTTGAACCCTGAAATAAGTGGTTGGCCTTATTGCTATGCACTCAAAAGCCTGATTGGGCTTATTATCAGGGGATGTCTTATTTGGGGGGAAACAGGGTACCAAGACATGGAATTCCACTCCTGAGCGAGCACTTCCTCCATACTGTTTTCCACATTATGGAGCAGTGGTGACTAAGTTAAAAAGACGGAGATGGACAATCTTTTCATATATCTATATCCAAATTAATAATGAGTCACCAAAAAGTCCGACCCTTGCTTTCCTTATACAAGAACTTTTTATAGTTATTCACTGGATAATGGGATAAAGTTTGTAAAGACAGCTAATTTTATTCAGTTAACATTTTTTTTCTTTTTGTCACTATTTGATCATTAATGGGGTAAATAAAAATGGCATGAAGAAGTATATCATTACACGTTTAAAAATAGCTATGGCCAATTCATTAAACCATTCTTTCTGAATTTGGTGCTGTTTTAAACTGTAATTTTCTTCATTTCCAAACAGGATGTGAGAGGAACCCTCAAAAAGCACCAACCTGGAGAAAATTCTGTTGAGCAGATATACTTTATATAAATACTCTTATCTGGTCAGTTGTAAAAAATACTTTTTCAGATTATAGAGTACTTTCAATATTCCAAGAATCAGCATGCATCAGGATGCTTTGGAAGATTTAGAATATCTAGCTTAGATCTGGGCATGCTTTAAGAGAGAGGGAGTTTTAAGAGTTGGGGTTATGATACCACATAAAACCAAGTCACATAAATCAATGAGCCAGCATTCTGTCCCTTCACCTCAGTTTTTTTTTTTAAAAAAAACTTTTTAGAATTGTTATGTCTATGTTGGAGTATATACACTGTTTTCATTTAGTATGTGGCATGAAACTGCTTGGATCATTTTCAGCAAAGGTTCCGGAAGGCTCCAGAAAAGAGGCCTGTGCCACATTTTATATGGTCCTATATCCATGACTTGAAAAAGTGATAAAACAGAAAGTGTTTCAGAAATAAGCAACATTGGAAAATAGGGAAATAAACAGGCAGCAGTATGAAGAAGAAAAAGAAAAATACAACCATGTCTGGATATTTAAAAAGTTGAAGGTTATGTCTGAGTATAAAGATTAGATTTATCAATTAAGATTATTTGGGGGAAAAAATCTGATAATGCTAAAATAGGAAACCTATAAAAAGTTTTATTTACTTTATATTGGCATATTTACTTTATATTGGCATAATAAAACAGTGCTAAATGATGTATGAATGTATAGGCTGAAGCAGATATCCAATTCACATATTGTTACTGTGGGTTAGAGAAAGCAGGATGTGACTAAATATGTTTATGGGATCTGGCAAGACAAATAAAATACCACAGATTGCTCTTCTAACAAAGTATGAACGCTGTTCAGTGTCATCTATCCTAAATACAGATGGAGATGTCATCATTTTCAGATATGGAGCTTTCAATAACAAAACATTCTTTGGGGATATAGTTTTGACAGTTACAACAATCTGAAACCTGTGGATTTCATCTTGAACAGGGATGGGCAGCATGGAACCTTCCAGATACTGCTGAATGTCAGCCCCAGTAATCATAGCATATGCTAGCTAACAGGAAGGGACACAGGTGTTGCAGAATCCTCTTTGGAGGACCAAAAGTTGCCCAAACCCAAGGTAGATGTTTTATGTTGATGATACATAAAAGCTTTCAGAAATCATGAAGGAAGGTAGAGCTTCACAACAATCTCTGAAATAGGTAAACATAACTACAATGAGAAACCTGAACAAAAAGAACCTTGGTAATTTTAAAAAAAAAGAAGAAGCTGGGGATTTATGCAATAAGAAAGCAAGCAAAAAAGATATACATGTCTCTCCGGTTTCTATATGTAGAACATAATTTAATATTGCAATTAAATTACTGTAGAAGGAGCTACAGAAGTTTACTGGGGAAAATAACTTGCAAAGATTAAAAAGAAAATGCTGTAGTAATGCCTAAACTGTGCAAGTGGCTCAGAATCACTTGTGTGAGATGCATGGCCATATAAATTTAGGCATACACAGAGATTCAGGATTTAGAATGGAATTTGAGGAAGGCTTTAGTTTTTGAAACATCCATATGAGCTTCGCAGTTACAGAACTGTTGTAAATCTTTGAGATACTTCTTAATATACCTTGCAAACTGCTTCTTTTTCATGCTTTGTATAGCCTTAATACTCTGATTCACAGGTGTCAAATTTGCCTCGTCACATCACCATCACATGACATTTTGCGATGGTTTTTTTCCCTTTGCGGAGCTGGGGTAGGCGTGGCCTCTGTGTGACACACCCGGGCCATCAGCTTGACACCCCTGCTCTAATCCTTTATTCAGTGGAAATTTATTCCGGTGTCGGAACTGCTTGCTGCCTAAATTCATTAAATTAAACTTATTCCCCTGTAATGTCTGAAAAATGAAGCAATTGATTTAGAAGTTGTTTACTTTAAAAGACAGTTTGTGAAATCAGTATTATTTAACATTGTTTAAGAATTAAACCATGATTTTGCTTGGGTTCTTCAGTTGTTGAATTATAATTCCCAGCATCCCTCATCCTTGCCTATGCTGCTTTGGTTTGTTGCAAATTCAGATTCTGCATTTCCTGGCATAATTGCTTGGCTGTTTATACTGAAGTGTTTAAATGAACTTCTAATAGCAAGTGGTGCACATTTTTCAGAGGATTTGAAATGTGATAGCATCAGTGACTGCATATTCACAACAATTGGGGACAGTAAACATATAGGAAGATGTCTCACAGTGACTCACATCATTGGATCTAACTCAGTATTAGTCCTACTCTGATCAGTAGCAGTTGTCCAAAATTCCTAATTTTGACTTTTTTCAATCTCGCTTGAAATAAGTTAAGTTATGAAATTTGATATATGTAATTTGGTTTTTATTAAGTATACAAATGAATGTATTTTTCTCCTCCTGAATGCATTTTTCTCCTGCCTATAAACCAGCTGTTGGGAATCTGAATCTTTAGGATCTTGAGAAGCATAGGACCTATTTCTAAACTTTATCCATTCTAGGAATTATAGGAGATGCAGTTTACTCATACTTGAAAAATCACAATCATACATGTTTGAGTTGTATTTATAAAAGCATCTGTAGAAATTGGATTCTACATGCGTGGGAATTAATAAACCATATATGGTCCCACACACTCATTTTTGCATTTAACTATTATGTAGTTTGAGTTGAATTTCTGTGCTTATTTTATAAATATCTTATGGACCAACACTGGTCAGGCAAAATAACAAAAAACAGGTTGTGAGCATGATACTCATTCCATAAAGTAGTTGATCAAAACATTTGGAATATTAAAATTTAGTTATAATTAGGAAATAATTTTTAAAGACCCCAAATTATTTGTTCAGAATTTTTGTAGGAGAGAGAACTCAAAAGTATATTTTCTTGTAATAAAACAAACCCTGAGCTATATTAGAGGGAGAAAAACTAATGGATAGCTTACAAACTAACATTAATAACAGTAATTTCTAGTGAAAACTCTGCTTCATTTTAGATCCACAAAATAGGTTTGGAGACTATATAGCTGGTTGTGCAAAATGGGAAATGAACAGAAATGAAATTTGAACAAAAGAATCTTTTTTAATCGTTAGATGTAAAATATTAAACCAAACCTGTTGAAATTTAATCCTCTATAGTTTATATCTTTTCAAAAATCGAAATTACAATTGTTTTCATTCTCAAGCTGATTCCTATCATTAAAAAGGAAAACAGCTATTGTGAACAAAATGTAACTTCTATCAAAGCTCACAGAAATAATATAAAAACATTCTATTAGAATATTGGAACATTCAGACTCTTAAATTCTATATATACACCTTATACTGACATTTATTAACTGAGCTATATAGAATATAAACTATTTTTATTACAATCTTGCTCCTCCAAAATACTTTCAAGTCTCTCCCTGCAACTCTTCTGGTTCACAGATATTATTCTTTTCCATGTTATGTGATGTAGCGCCACCAATCATGATTACATTATGTATAAATGAAGTTACTCTGGTTTGTCTGCAAATGATGGTAAAGAAACCCTATTGATATGAAGGTTACTTCAGTATTATTTATGAAATATGATGTTTTAAGTGTTTGAATTATCTTTTTTTCAACTTTTAAATCAAACAGCATTTAAAAAATAAATCCCTGATGCACAGCTGGAAAATGTACATGTATGGTTCCGTACGAGAATGGAATTGAAATGAAAAGTGACATAACAGCATAATAAAATTCTAATTTCTCCTCTGAGAAGGCTTTGTGAGATATCAAAGATGGTTTCTTGAAAGGCCCAATTACCATAATCCCTTGTCATACAGAAATCAGGTGATTTGGTACTCCAGGTTCTATGCTAAGAAAATGGGGTAGTCATTGGACCTCGCAGCAAAGGCTTTTCAAGAACTTGCTAGTGACTGCACCATTGGTAAATCAGGCAATTGGTGGTGGGGTAGTGGAGGTCATGAGCAAACATGGAGAATTGTGCTGGGCTTCAGATTCAAAGGCAGTAAGATGCAGAGGCATGCATGTGGCTCCTGTCCGCAGTTCTTTAAATTCAACACATTTTGTTTTAGAAAAGTGGTGCAGCTTCAGAGGACAACTGCACAATTGGACAACTTAGAACTTTGCCGTCTTCGGTTAGACCTAAGCATAGCACATAGAATTATCTGCTACAGTGTCCTACCTGTCAATGACTACTTGAGTTTCAACCACAATACACGAGCACACAATAGATACAAACTTGTGGTAAACCACGCTAAACTTGATTGCAGAAAATACAACTTCAGTAACAGAGTCATTAATGCCTGGAACGCACTACCTGACTCTCTGGTTTTTTCTCCTAACCCCCAAAACTTTAACCTTAGACTGTCTACTGTCGACCTCACCCCATTCCTAAGCGGTCTGTAAGGGGCATGCATAAGCGCACCAGCGTGCCTACCATCCCTGTCCTAATGTTCCCTTTTATATGTATCCATTTCATGTATTCATAATTATGTTTATACTTATATCTGTTACCTATTACATCCTTGACGAAATAAATAAAAAATAAAAATAAAACAATCTTAGGAAAACTGGAAAAAACACATTAAGCAGTTGGATTCAGGTACTGTGATGTGCCCCCAAACACCTTTTTATCCTTGGATCCAAAATGCAGCTGAGTCTTAGTCTTGAGAGTTTGTCCGCCTTTTTAAGGCATACAGTAGTCCTCAATGGCAATTGGGACCTGAATTGCTGTCAGTAAGCAACTAGGTCATAAATTGTGGTATCACATGACTGTCTTACTTAGTAATGGAAATTCAGGCATTTCAGGTTGCCATCAAGCAAATCACTGCAGGTTAAGTGAGGATGTCACAAGCCCACCATTTGGGATCTCTGCTGGCTTCCCCATTGACTTCTCAGAAACTGGCAAATGATCATCCTGTGATTGTGGAATGCTGTGGTGGCCAGAACTCAGGACCAGTTGTAAGTACCACTCATTCAGTGCTATTTGCATGGTAGCTGAATGAATGGTTGCTAAAGTAAGAATCACTGTACCGAGACAGCAAAAAACATGTGTAACATATTAAAAGTAAATCTCACATGAATAGTAGTCGCTAATGGTAGAAGACTGATTTACTAAATAGTCTATATAATGGATTATTCATTCTTATCCTGAATTTTACTGTGCCAGTTTTAGGGAAATAAAAGCTTGCCTTTGTTGTGATCTATGAATCTGCTATATACCATTATGTACCTCTTAAAAACAAATGGAAAAATTTAAATTTCCTAAAGATTGTAACTAAAATTTAATATATGTAGGTAGTTCTCTTGCCAAGAGTAGAAAAGTGGCTTGCCACTGCCTCATTTTAATTTCCTTATAGCCCTGGGATTCCTGGAAGATCTTAAGTGTTAATGAGGACACTTCCTGCTTATTTTCAAACCTCTGCCAAGATAGCCAGGTGCTGCCACCTGCTGAAATATGCCAGCTTGTCTACTGAGGAGGCAATAGAACCTGATAAATTCAGATAGTCATAAGGGAGTTTCACTTAATTCTTAACTGCTTGGAGTTTCCTTAAAATCTTTCATCTGGGCTAGGATTTAATAGCCAGTAATTGTGTTTTTCAACCATTTCAAGTGAAAATGTTCTTGGAACACAGGAAATGAATGTCATCAGGACATGTACAGTTACTTCAAGAAATTCAAGATTGAATTTCTAGTTAAAGATTCTATATATCATCAGAAGCCATCACTGAAAAGTTAATAGAAGCGTTGTAATATAACAGGTCCTGACCACAGTGTTTGAGAAGGTAAATTGCTGATACAATTACACGTGTATGGAAGAACCTTTAGAGATATGCAGTTTACTTATAAAGTTGAACGGAAGCAGAGGAGAAGGCAGGGAATAGCTTGCTCAAGTCAAAGTCTACAGTATTCTTCAAAATCTTGAATATGCAGCCATGTTTTATCACAACTTGATGAACGAGATAATCGGTAAATGCTAAAAATGTATAGCGGACCATTGACATTTGAACATATCAGCTCTCAAGTAGTCAAATCCATTTCTTTGTCCCCTCAGTTTAATCAGCCAGAGCACTGTTTTTATCAGGGCTAAAGTCAAGTAGTTATCCCTTATTTGCATTATAATTCAGTTGGGTGTCCAGAGATTTTTCTCTGCACTTGAATTCTCATCTTACCCATAGAAATTGTCCTACTTCAAGATATTTTTCTGAGTCCAATTTAACTGGCCACTCTTCGTGTTAAAATAGTTAACAGTGAATTAATATAACAAAACATCTAATATTTTATGTGTTGTTAAATATAAGGAATTTTTTTTCTTTTTCATGACATCTTTTTCATGACACTGTTAGGAAAGCCTAACAGTGCTTTCCATTAGGTGCAAGTGAATAGCTTGATCCAAAGAAAAGCAGGATTTTGACAATGGCTTATCAACCCATAACCATATTTCTATTACAAAATCAAGCATAAAAACAGACCATTATAGTATACATACGATAAAAAAAAATCTACATTGGTAGCTTTTAACTTCAGAAGGGGGTTGGGGAATGCAGCATTCCTTTCCCGCCCTTTATACCAGGAACAAGACTACTCTTAAGTGGTATGGCAAGTTTTCCACTTCTCTTAGGTCTGTCATATAAATACTAACTACTCTCAACTGTTAACTTTTAAGGCCGTTCACTTAGCTAACTACTGCCACCTGCTGAATCACAGACAAAACAGGCTGGTTCACAAATACTGCCCTGCACATCTCCAAAAATTGCTACCTGAACTAGAACTTTAAATTCATATGAAATCGAATCAGTTTTAGCTTTTGTTAGGGACCACTATGCTTACAGTTGAAGAAAAAACTGACCTTCAAGTATGGCTTTTATCTGAAAAAAATCACCTGTACACCATGTGCTACTTCAAAAGAAAAAGATGGCAGAGGGTCAGGATCACACCGCCTGCCCTCCCTAAGATTACAGGCTGTGTCACCTGCTATTCATATGCAGTGTGGTGTGTAAATGAGTATATAAATCTCAGAAGGACAAATAAAAGGTTCTCCACTTGGAGGAAAGTCCCACAGGATCCAGATTCTCCAAAGCTTATGCACACACAAGACTGGACACATAGACTTTGCTTTTAAATTTAGATGCATTGAGAGGCAGGGCAAGTAAGGTAAGCAACAATAAAGAGACATCTGCTGTGGGTAATCTGGCTTGATTTGGGGATTTCTTTAAAAAAAAAACTTTGGGGGTGGTGGTGAAATCAAACTACCATATAAATTCATCAAAAATGGATTATGTCCCCAAACCAAACACTCTGATCACATATGTTCTTATGCAATTCCAAGCTTGGATGAAATGTAAATGTAAATCAGAATGCATTAATTTATAGAAAGTATATTTTGCTTCCCACCACTGCTTTTCATTGATTTTCTAGTTCATAAAATACATGGTAAATCAATTAATGTAAAATTTGAGTAAAATAATTACATTGTCAAGGGACGTGGTGGCTGAATGGCTAAGACGCTGAGCTTGTCGATTGAAAGATTGGCAGTTCAGCGATTCGAATCTCTAGTGCCATGTAACAGAGTGAGCTTCTGCTACTTGTCCCAACTTCTGCCAACCTAGCATGTAAAAAATGTAAGTAGAAAAATAGGGACCACCTTTGGTGGGAAGGTAACAGCGTTCCGTGCACCTTTGGCATTTAGTCATGCCGGCCACATGACCACGGATACGTCTTCGGACAGCGCTGGCTCTTCGGCTTTGAAACGGAAATGAGCACCGCCCTCTAGAGTCGGGAATGACTAGCACATATGTGCGAGGGGAATCTTTACAGCACCTTAATTACATAGCCAAATAGGCTTTCTTCAAAAAAGCAACATCCGCATACGTAACAGTCAATATTCTAAACACACTGAGCTAACAAACATTTCAAATACATTTATGAACATTTTTTACAAAATGCTTTTATACTTTTTGTTCATCATGTTGGAAGCTAGATGGCAGAACAGTCACATAGATAAAATTTTAAGAATCTTAGAAAAACTACTACAGTGTTTTGGTAATTAAATAATTATATGTGGACTGTAATAAACAAGCTGCTACAATAAATAAATAACTGATTAGTAATATGGGACTAAAGAGATTTCCTAATGGGTCCTAAGAATGAACTGATAGGGTACATTTTGTGTATCTAGTTAATTTTGAAGTACTTTGAAATAGGAATGTTTGCCTGTATCCATGATTAATCTGTATCATAAAGGTTTATAAGACAAGCAGCTCTTTTTGTAAGCAACTCTATGCCTGAAACCCATATGCACGATTACTTGAGAACTACTAAAAAAATATGTCCTAAATTCCCAACAGGTAAACAAATAATAGCAACTATCCTAGATAAGAATAAGGAGCCAACAGCCCTTTAGATCATGTTGACTCAAATTTCCATCACTCCTAGCTAGAATTGCCATGATCAATCACTTTTAGAGTTGTAGTCCAATGAATATACAGAAATTTATGGAATACATTAGCTATTTCTCTGGAACTAATTTGTATTTGTTATGGAACAGTCCTCCTTTCACTCAGCACTGTGTATCCATCATGATGTTACTGCATCTTTTTTTTCTTCGCAATTTACATTATTCCCATGTGGTTCTACAGTTTCTTTTCAGGGGGCAAAGTAAGCCTCCTCTTTAAAAACGTTTCTTTTTAAAGTTAATATAATTTCTAAATCTGCATCTATAGTATTAAATGTAGATCTTTTTTTTTCTTTTCTGCTTTTTTATGGATAAATAGAAATTGCCCCCAAAGGGACAATCAAGATTAAATATTTGATTTTGGATTCCAAACTGGGATTGAAATAGGAAAGATGGAAAATGCCCATTGCATCAAGAAACATCTAAAAAAAGGAACAAAACAGTCATGCAGAACACTCTCAATATTATGCTGATTAGACCTTAGTTTAGATGAAAGTTTGGCCACAGTAGTGGTGACTAGGAGTGTGTTACTGTTTGCTAGATATAAAGAATTTGTTTGTGTGTTACATTTGTGCAATATGAGTACATACTACATATATGCCAATGTGTGCATGGTTAGTATTAAATCATTTGGCATCATGTGCAATTCAAATCATGCATTGTTTATTTACTGTATTGATTCCATTTTAAAGATATTTTTAATCCTTCCATGCTCTTTTTTCTTATGTTTTCTGAAAAATACTTGGCAAATGCTATCGGTACAATCTGTATTTAATTATACTTAGAAGGGGCCCATTAAAATTAAATAAATTAAAGTAGGCCTCCTCTAAACATGACAAAGCCTGCATCTAGCCATAGAATTAGTACTGATCCAATACTCTACCCCAGGGGTCAGCAACCTGCGGCTATGGAGCCACATGTAGCTCTTTGGGCCCTCTGCTGTGGCCCCCACTGGCTGGCTCCACCCCTCACCCTCCCCTCCCAGTCACTCCTCGCCTGGCCTGAGAAGGTAAGGGTGACGGCAGGGGATGGAGAAGCGGTTTTGTGGTGCCCAGTGTTTTCTGTGGGAAATGGATCCAAATGGCTCTTTGAGTGCTTAAGGTTGCAGACTCCTGCTCTACCCTATTCACAATAGACAACAACCATCCTTGCTTTGAAAGCCAGTGCAAGAAGGAAAAAGAAATTGTTAATGTTCAGTCTTTCATATGATACACTGGAATGACTCTTACATAGATATAAATTCATCCATAATGATGAATGAACTTCCCTGTATGGGTGAACTTGGAAGTATACCCATACTTCCTCCAGAAGCTTTGGGTTAAAATACTTGTGATCTCCTGTCTTTGGCCATGTTGAGCTGGGGCTGAAACTTCTGCAGGATGTCATGTCTCTCCTCACCTTTCTGCCAGTTCAGAAGCAGAGTGTAAAAGTAAGGTACAAAATGCATGTGAAAAGTCAATAGTTTGGGATTAGTAATCAGGAGCAGAGATTTTATTTCCACCAGTGCCCCCCTGTGGAAAATTGAAATGGATCTCTAATTTTGTATTTGGTTTTTTTTGCTAGAATTCTAAGATTATGAACAGGACTCTAGAGAAAATGGAATATATTATCAAGCCTGATTTGGCGATGATGGCAATGTCACCAACTTGGAAATCTACCTTTCCAAACCCTTTTAAGAGCTCTTCCCTGGATATGGTCATATTTAAAAACTAAATATGTAGTTTTTACATAAATATGTAAACTAAATATGTATTCTTTCACGTAAAAGAAAACCTTCTCGCGAGTTCAATCAAACTTCTCCAACTCGCGAATTTTCTTTTACAACATGTTTCCCTGGACACAATGGTGAGGAATGCCACGGAGTTTGAAAGGTAAGACATGCGTCCCACTTCTCGGTCACCCCACCTGCCACCCCCAAATTGCATCCCTAAAGAGGATGGGTGGCTAAGCAAGGGGCAGGAGCTCTGCCATGCCCGGTGAGCAGGGGAGAAACAAGGGGAATCACGTCTCGTTCCACGCGTCTTGCTTCTCCCCCGCCCCACCTGTCAGAAACGAGTCTTTGTGAGACTCATTGCGCCGGCGCCTCATGGAGCAGGACTCTGCAAGGCTTGTGCCCTTGCATGCACGAACGGCAGCACTGCCGGGAAATTTGAAATACCAGCGCAGCCGCGAGTGGCAGGATGCCAGCTGTGCCAGTATGATGAAGCTCGTGGTGGTGCTGCAGTTCATGTGTGCAACGGCACAACAAGCCTTGCAGAGTCCTGATCCATGAGGCAGCAGCAGCGGTGGGACACATCAGGGCAGCCACAGCCAGCCACTCAGCCGGCGTGAAGAACAGGGAGGGGAGGGGATGTTCCTCCCCCTTTCCCCCCCTCCGGTCTCACCTCGTCAACTTGTTTTGGTTGCGCAGCAAGCAACCAAAGGAAATGGCGGGACCGGCTGCACATGCGTGTAAGTAGTTGGTGGGGGGCTTATTTTAACGCATGCGCTGAAAAGCCCGATTGGGCTTATTATCTGGAGAGGTCTTAGTTTTGGGGAAACACGGTAGCTTTCTCGCTGACTTTGCTTGTTGGAAGCTGGCAGGGAATGACTGAAGCTCAGTGCAATGTCATAATTGCAAGTTGGGTGTCAAGCACCCAGATTGCAATCACTGCAGGGATGCTGTGATGGCCAGAACTCTGAGGACCCATCATAAGTCACCCTCATTGTTATGTTGGGTGAATGAGGACGCAGCAAGCCAGGCAGTGAGTGACAACAACTCTTTATTGTAGGGTGAGAACCCAGCGACTGACCAGGGGAAACAGCTCCCTTTATATACCTTGCAGCTGTGGTGGTCAGCCAATCAGCTGACCGTCAGTTAATTCAAACTGCCTGCACAAATCTACATACATAACACTCATTCAGCACCATCAGAAGCTTTAAAAATTGCTGAACAAGTGGTTGTAACCTGAGGACCAGAAATGCTGATAGTCCTTCATTTCAGCAAAGTTGGGGGAAGGGGGAGGGGGCTAAGGCCCAGAACAGGAGTTCCCTGCTTTGTCCCCTATGCTATAAAACGGCTTGAAAGGACAGATTTGCTCTAATGTGTCCAATTTATGGAGAAGTTTAAGATAGAGCTCTTCTGGAGTTGTTTTTAACTGTTAAAAGCTGTTATCATGTGAAGTATTATTATATGTTGCTCCAGCTTTTTGGAATGGATGCTGATTTTATTGTACTGCTGTGACTCTTTGAATTGCAATGGAATAGACATTTGATAAATAAATATATATTTTCTCATGAAGGAAATACGTTTTTGCTTCTCTTGTTAACAAGTGAGGAAGCATAAATTCTTGGTGATTTGTACTTGACCTAAACCTATCCTGTAGAGATCTGACAATAAATCCAAACTGCCTTCTATACATCCAAATGTGAAATGTGGAGGCAGGGGTAAAAACAAAATGGAGTTCCACATATGGCCCATCAGCCATTCAGTGGCCTCCTGATTTTAGTCTTTTTTTCAGGTGGGGGTGTGGTTCAAGACAGTTTAAAATTGATGTCTTAACATTTGCAAATATATAAGACAGCCCTTCACTTCTAAAACTTTTGAAAGCTTTTCCCAAAATACATTCTAGAAGGAACCCCTGATGATGCCATGAAAAATCTGAACACACTTCCAAGACTATGGAAGTTGGGTGCCTCTGCTTTAGGGGACTTACATAACAAATCTTAGGGACGGGTGCATCTGAAATAGAGGGTCACTGGGAAAATAATTTTTAAAAAGTAATGTAATGAATTGTTTTTGAAATGCGACAATTAAAATGTAGACATCATTTGCTGAGTCTGTAATCAATCCAGTCCAAGACTGGCTACTTAAGCAATTTCAATTTATTGAGTTGTTAAGAGTGAAGTAGGTGTCAAAAGTTACTATGTATATTTCACTCAGAATCATCTTTGGCTTTAGTTTCTTGTTTGGTAATGTTTTAGTCCTTGGATTTCTTTGGTTCAAAACACTTCTTATCATGTCCTTGAACTCTTTAGCCCAAGAGCGGATAACTTGCTGCCTTCCAGATGTTGCTGAATTATAACTTCCAGTCTATCTCACCATTGGTAAAGCTTGCTGGAATCACTTCATTGCTTAGAACAAGTGTAACTATAAGAGCAAAGGGAAAGAGAGCAGAGGTAGTATATAGCCTACAAGAAATTACCAGCTAAATAATAGAATAGAATAGAATAGAATAGAATAGAATAGAATAGAATAGAATAGGAATAGGAATAGGAATAGGAATAGGAATAGGAATAGGAATAGGAATAGGAATAGGAATAGAATTCTTTATTGGCCAAGTGTGATTGGACACACATACTGTAAATATGTGTTCCATTATTTATCCCAAGGGTGGGCAATCTGTGGGTCTAGAATTTTGATGCTGGCCTAATTTCAAAAATCTTCTATAAGCAAGCAATGAATGTATCTCAAAAGAACAATCTGCTTCCTCTTTGGCAGGAATTCAGATTTTTAGTCTCAATACATCTGGAAGGCATCAGGTTGAGGGCGCCTGGGTCAGCGTGCTTTGCTTTTAATTCTTTCTAATATTTTGCTTAGACACAGTGTTAATCATGACTTCTTTAATATGAAATTGTTGAGCTCATATATCATTAAGTCATAAAACATAATCTACAAAGCACTGCCACTAGGCTTACATCTTATTCTAATCAAACCCAGATATTAAGAAGTTGCTCACAATTGTTGCAGTATAGGATACAAAAGATGAGATTTTGCCCATGTCTGAGGAAACTCCAAAATGGTCAATCTGATTAGCAATATTTGAGGAGGTGACTGTTACAAGCTACATGGATGATCCAAGCAATATCTATTGGGAAGCATTATTCTGTACCTAATTTAAGGCAGTCCAAAATGATTATTAAGGCTCTGAACATGTGCCACGAGATAAATTAATTATAATGATGATATGCTATTTATCAGAAATTTTAACCACATGACAGAGATGACAGTGAATTGGATAACTGCAGACCAGTACTGATTAACTACATTACCGATATATTCTCCTGATCAGTGGTGGGTTTCAAAATTTTTTACTACCGGTTCTGTGGGTGTGGCTTGGTGGGCGTGGCATTGCTTGGTGGGCGTGGCTTGGTGGGCATGGCAGGGGAATGATACTGCAAAATCCCCATTTCTTCGCGATCAGCTGGGACTTGGGAGGCAGAGAATAGATGGGGGCGGGACCAGTCAGAATATTTACTACCGGTTCTCCGAACTACTCAAAATTTCCACTACCAAAATTTCTCCAGAACTGGTCAGAACCTGCTGAAACCGACCTCTGCTCCTGATATACATGACTTAATTTTCCTATCAATATGGATGAGACAGAACTGAGAATGCAACTGTTTGTTATACATGCTATAAATGATATCTTATTTGCTGGTAAATCTGTTTGTAGAACATTTAAATTTGGTTTCTTTGGTTGTCATTTAGCCAAGATAAACAAGAGTCTCCTAGTATTTCAGCTTAATTAATTGTTGATATTTTGCTGCAATCTCTGCAGGCTGCAACATCATTGCTAACTAAAGAGCTACATTTATTTAGGTTTCACTCTAAGTATTTTAGCAAGTTTATTTTAGCAAAGCATATCTGATCTTGCTTTGAGCAGCTGCCTTCCAAAAGTCAGTCCCATGATTTTCACCACAAGGGAAAATAAAAATCAACTTTTGCAGGGCGGAAGAAGGGACTATGTCCATAGTCATATCAAGTTGTAATAGGATTTTAAATTTGGATGTATGGATAGATGGACAGACAGAAGCTATATACACTGTGTTAGCTCAGAAGAATTACTAGCACCAATGCAAACTTAAGTAGAATTCTTCTTTGTCTCTCTTTGTTGCATGTGGAGAGTCTTGACCAGGATCAATATTGACAAGGGTACTACAGTCAGTTCAAATAAGTATGATCTTATTCCTCTAAATCCTCTGAGATTTCTGGGAGAAAATGGAATTGAGTTTTAAATCATACAAGACAATAGATAACTAATCTGCTCAGTTACTTGCTTGTTTATTTATTTTAAGTCACTGTTTAAAATAAGGAATATTTTACAACCCTCCGAATGACATTCATACATATTATAGATATAATAAAATTAATATAAATATAACATAGGATCAAAACGTGTCAAGCTAATAATGAAGATAAAGCAACGTAACCTAACCGCATTACATAAAGCAATAAAAGAACTACGTACAATAACAACAGACATGATAATGTTAAGAGCTCATTAAATTCAGCTGTCCATAAAATGCCTATGAAAAGACATTCTTTGCTTCTTGTTAAAAATACCATAATGTAAGCACCGGACTAACCTCTATAGGTTTTAACTGACTCAATAATTATTGAGAAGTCTGAGAAGATGATAGGAAAGAGGAAACAATCCAATTAACTAGTTGATCATAACAGTATCATACATATCTATGATTCTGTGATGCGCCTAGTTGTAAAAATAAGGTGCAAACTATAATTAATAACGGGATAGCAAAAAAAAGTAGAAGAAATAATGAACTACATAAGAATTAGGGAAAGATTATGTGAAATAACTTTTTAAAAGAATTGTACTTGTAAAATCTTTATAGTAGTCAAGAAACTTCTTCTTCTTCTTCCTCCTCTTCTTCCACTTCCTCTTCCTCTTCCTCTTCGTCCTTCTTTTTCTTCTTTCTTATTCTTTAAAACCAAAAATCATAATCTTGGTAGAACTCTTAGCAAATCAAACATCTACATCAGAATTGGAGAACCTGAGGTCTCTAGAACTACAATTCCCAGCATCCCTCATCCCTGGATGTGATGATTGGGAAAGTTCCCCAAACTAGTATAGGATAGGATAGGATAGAAACTACAGTTTGTAACACTTGGGGAATCGTAGGTTCTCCTCCTTTGAAAATGAATGCCATAGTCAAGATGGTGGGTATTGGCAGCTGCCAAGTAAGTGGAAGGAAATTAGGGTAGTGTCATTATTATACAAATACCATAAGGATATAAGTACATAATAGTGGAATTTGCATGATTGTGTGATTGTGCTTGTTTCATCAAGATGTTCTCAAGATGCCACTGATAGTTCCATTTCCTGAGGCAAGAGCAATGAAAGTATTACTAACAAAGAATCCTAGAATCAGAACTTGAAAGAAAATGGGATAACCAATTTAAATTTCTCTGGCTTCCTCAGCCAATGTTTGGTCATGCATGTAATATTTAATTAGGACATCCAGTATTGATTAGAAAAGGTGTATGATAAATGATAAATGGGAGAAGATCTACCGGCTTCTATTTTAAAACTTCTCTTTGAACCCAAAAAGGGCAGCTAAAAGGGTGTGGCCATATGCTACCTTAAGTGCTGAGGAATACATGACAAGTTGAATAATACGCCATATGCAATTAAAGTTTGAATTTATTCTGCACACCAATTAATCTCTCATCAGTGGAATATTGGATGAATAAATCATGTTTGAAACACTGAGGAAAAGATGTTTCAAGATATTTCATTAATAAACATTCTTCCATGACTTAGTAAGGATGGAATGTCAGTAATGGGTGGTGTTTGAGAAACTTGCTCCTAGCTAATCTGGATATAGGAAATGCAAAAAGGGAACTGAGCTAAGATTATGAACTTTAAACTAAGAATGATAGATGAAAGTCATATACCAAAATCAAACCAGTGACATTCTCACTGTAGTTGCTTTAATTTTGAGTAGAGTAATATAACAGCTATAGCTTCTGGCAAAACAAAAGTTTTGCTACTTCACAATAAAACAGATTAACTATAACATGGTTCAGATGTTATCTTTAATTAGATGAACAAGCACTGTGACCTGAAAGTTTACTTTCTTTTCCAACATAGTTCAACTTAGTTTCAGAAGGAAAAATCAAAATATTTCATGATGGTTTTCAGGCAAATAGCCTGTATAGTGCATCTCTAATCTACTTCTTTATGGATTTCACCCATTACGCTAAGCCACACATTATTTGGCTTGAGTTTAGGATGTTGTGAACCTAGTCATTGCAGTTGGAGACCACGGATTATAGTTCTCAATGAAATGTGAACCCTCCAGACCATGGTTTAAATCAAAGACAGCTTATTGTGACAAGAAAATGTGATCTATTTGTCAACCAACCAAAGGAATGAAACGAAAAAAGATTTTAAAGAGAGAGAGGGCAAATTTCATCTTCTAAAATAACATTCTTGCTGAGGGAAGATGATGTCTTCTAGCAGTTGTATTCCAGTGAAAGAATAAAAGAATATTTCCTGTTGAAATATTAACCACCTTTGCTAAAGGAGAGAAAATCTTTCCGGTCACTGATTGTTTACTGCCCCCAGTCAGATTCTTCTGATTATCATTCTTTGCAGCAATACACTTGTACTTTCTTTTTTAGCCTGCTTCCCAAATTAAATACAAATACATCTACCCATCTGTCACAAATCTGATCCTTCCCTATTTCCATTTAATATCTTTTTTGTCTCCCTAGAATGCATTTAATGAATCAGGCAAGCATGACCCTGAATAAACTAAACATTAAGCAGCTTGAGACTGTATGTGTGAAAAGAGAGAGAGAGAGGGAGGGAGGGAGAGAGAGAGAGAGAGGGAGAGAGAGAGAGAAAACATCCATCCTTTCTCAGATTAGTATAGCACAATGAGCAACCTAGGAAAGTGAAAGGGTGTTGGGGAGAGAGGAAACACCAAGAGTGTGAAGCATTCGTCCTGCTAATAGTTCAGTTTTTGTGCATATGCAAGAGGTAGAGTTGTCCCTAAGGGAAAAGGGTTGTGAATAAGAAAGGGCCAGAAAGCAGCTTTTTAAAGGGCATTTTCACAGTTTAATATATCAAAGTGGGTCAATCTGGGCTGGAAATATCTCAGGTTGCTACGCTATAAAATTAGAAAATATCGATGTAAAAGCAGTTCCTTGATAATCTAGCCTTTAAATCTAGGATTTAGAATAGGTTTTTTTTTGCAAGCTTGAAATATCTTTACTCTTGAGAAAGGCTAATTTGCATTTCTCTATCTTGTTTCCATATTGGATTTTAAAATTAAATGAAAGCTCCATATCAGACATTCTTTCTCTCCTCTCCCCCTTGTTTGCCATTTTGCCTGATAATAGAGGTCCGGTTAACTCAGAAGCTTGCATTCTTTTTTACCCTCTTAACCCTAAAATTGTTCGATCATTTAGAATTGTTGTGTGTGAGAGACTTCCATACTGATGAAGGACATCATTAAACATCTATAATCAGTGAAGCTAAACTGCAGATAAATTAATCCGTTAAACGCTATTTTCCAATCATGAATATCTTAACTGCATCCCATGTTGATACGCATTAAATGTTATTATTTTGATAACCTTTTTCTTTGTAAGATATTTATCTCTGAACTTTCAATTATATGCAATTCTAATCACCATTTTATTCTAAGTGTATTCTAGATGTATAGGATTATGTTAATAAACTCTGTTAATCAAATCCATAAAACTAAAATAAACAGATTCTATTAAAACTTTATTATAAAAACAATTATAAATTAGTATAATATGTATACAATTAATACATATTGTGTTATATAACTTTGTCTTGTTGATCAACTTTTACACTCAAATGTGATGTTTTACAAAAGGTAATGAAAAGTCATATTCATTTTTTAAAGTTGTTCTTAAGAGGAAAAATAAGGCAATGTCTGTTCTCATATATACGGTTAGCCACTTTACTCCAAAACTCTAGCAAATTTGGGACAAGAATTGCACTCATTTTGATTCCAATTCATTTATTTTATTTGGAGCACTTCAACTAGAAAATATATAAAGTCAAAAATATATGATGGCCTCGACTTGACTGCCAATGGCATAGGGTCTCCTGCTTCTGCAGGTTAGACTAGAAGACCTCCAAGATCCCTTCCAACCCTATTATTACATGTTCTATTTCTGTATAGAGGAAGATTATAAACAGCATGCCCTTAGGCGATATGATTTTATCAATATGTAAATAATATTTATTTATTTATTTAGTTAGTTAGTTCATAAAGGTGCCCATTTCAACAAGTGGTTCTCACAGGAATATTATGTGCATAATTATCAACTGTAGATTGTCTAATTTATATAATTGCTTATGTAAATTAGGTATTTTTTCATTCCCCACCTTTTATTTATTTATGCCCTAAATAAGTCTTTTATTTCTTCTCAACTTTTCCCTGGCCAATTAATTGGAACATAAGTGTTCTAGCAATACAGATTCAAGAATTAACTGAAGTCCCTGGGAATACTGTTTCAGCCCATAGGCTGGGAACAAAATAATTGCCACTTCAGTGTAGACATTCCTGTAACACTACTATAAAGTATATTTTTTCACTAATTATCATATGTAATATTGGAGGTGAAGGCTACTAAACGTGGGCAACAAAAATCCGGACAACTATGAGATGACAGCAGAGAGATATGGAAAATCTTACTTTTAGGTTATCTAGTGGTCATCCTGTCTTTTGCAATCCACACATGATTCTCTCACAGTATGGTTATAAGTAATTTTCAGGCCTTTCTCCCCAATTAGTAAAGCAGAATAGAGTTACAACTAAAAAACAGAGCAAAGCTGAATAGTTTCATGAGACAGGAAGAATTCATGTTTCACTCTGTTTGAAAATTGTTGCCTTAACTTTACCTCAGGAACCTTGAGACTGATGTAATAAAGTTTTTCAGAAAACCCTACTTCACCATATCAAAGGCACTTGTCCTTAATAAATGCAAAAAAACTCATTGATAAATAATAAATTTGCCATTTTATCCCCCCATATTCTCTTTGAAAGACAGATTAATAAATATGATTATGTATATGAGCCCCAGATATTAATAAAAGTAAATACAGGGCTGCATACAGAAGTGAAAAATTATTTGAATTTCCTAATGGACAACCCTTTTCAGTGATGTATTTTAAAAACCGTGGGTTGGAAAAGTTCTAAGCAGGGTGTTTAAGACTACAATTCTTTACTCATTTCTTAGAAAGATGACTTATATATTTGCTATTGAGTATAATTAAAGGTGCTTCAGTTCTAACTGATTTAGAATCCAATTAACTGAAGGAATACTTTCTTCTATAAACCATTAATCTCTTTGTGTTTTAAGATTATCAGAGGACACCCCTTCCACAAGAAAAAAACCCCACAGATTTCATCTACAAAAGAATGTTATTCTCTGTGGTGATATCCCACCTTAGATATACTCTGCGGTGGGCTACCACCATATCAGTCAGGCATGAAAGACCAGGACCACATGTTAAGTTCCAATTAAATTGATTTATTGCTCATGCCTATGCACAGGAATCTAGACAACTAATAGCATGATTTTGACAATAAATAAGGATTAAGGAATTCAAGAGGGATTGGATTTAGTCTGCTTGTGGCAACATACAGACTCTAGGCTGATTCCTCTTTTGACTCTGCCCCCAAGCTCTACCACTCCTTCTCCTGTAATGTCCTTTTGAAGACTTAGATAAAGTATTTTAGTACAAATTATGTGACTATTTCAATCTGATTCAGTTTTCAAGCTCTAGATTACACTCAAAATTTAAGCTATTTTGTTTTATACAATTTTACCTTTCTGGGTATATTGCTAGGACTTCTTGAGTAATTTCTAAAACAATTAATAAAACCTTGAAAAGATACACAAATGATTCTGCGAAGTTTTCAGCACTAAAATTCAGAGCTTGAATCTTCTTAAATCAGCCTGGTTTTTTTATACGTTATTCAGAATTAAATCCATGGAGTTCAAATGATTCCCTAAATGTACTTGTGAAGGTTTAAATCTATGCTTTCAATATTTTTAATACTCTAGATAGATTTAAATAATGCACCAGAATTAAAAATAATAAAAATAGTTCCTAGTAATAATTAAATTATTGACATTAGAGCAGTGTCTATAACTTTATGGGTTCATTTCATTACATGTCCATTTTTTAAATCAATGTGTAGAAAGTTTCTGACATTGATTTATTTGGATATTCATGTTGGTATAAACTGCCAACTTTTGTACTTGCTATGAGCTGCAAATGAGATTATAAATGTGGAGCTGCAGAGGCTGTTAATACTTGTAAATGGGGTGTCAGGAAAAAATATGAAAAAAGATCACAAGTCCTCAACTAGACTGGAAAATGAAATCATATTGAATGATATTAGAACCTGCAGCATAAGTGTTAATGTTTTAGATATACCAATATATAATAGAGTTACAAGACTCACCTTCCCCCGTATGTTCCTGACAAATCAGGTGCATTTGATGCTGCAATTATAGGAAAAGAAGTTGCCAGATTTAAATAAAGAAATCTTATTTTACTTTCTGCATGAGATATCGGCACCTTTGAGTTTTCGGTGATAAGCTCAATTGCTCTTATGTAGTATGAATTAATTAACACCTGATACTAAACATATGTATTTAGAACTAATAAATGCATGTTGAAACGTATGTGATGAACAACACAAGCCAAGTAATATTAGAATTAAGCTGCAACAAATATAGGCTGCTCCAGCCAACTTTGGGCAGTGTACAATATATTGAGAAAGGTAAATAGATTCAGAATTTGGATTAAAAGTTTGTTACTTGGAATCACAGCCTTGGAGGTATACCAATTCTAATTCCTATGTAAAAATATTTAAAATACAAGCATTAATCACGTTCAAAGTGAAAATGTTTCATGATGCTCAGAAATTTCTTTTCATATGCTATCACAATGCCCCAGGATTTGCTATATCAAACATGCCTCTTCTCATTTTGAAAGTTCAATGGATTGCTGTGGATATATGTATGTGCATGTGTGTGCATATAGCTATATACTACTAAAAATATAGATGTCATTTATTTTATTTTATTTGGAGAATTTATATGGCTGCCCATTCACTTTCATATTCACTCTAGTCTAGGCAGTTCACAACGTCATGATCTTTAACTAGGTGAAATGGTGCATCATAGGGGAGCAATTTTTGAATCAAGATCTATCAAATGGACTCATTTATCTAGACTCATGACTCCTGAAGAAATGAAATTTGGGGAAGTTGTGGCTGTTTTAGTCCTACTGGCTGCTGCTGCAGTTGTGTGTTTTCCCTGCCATTTTCGCAGCTGGTCTCACAATCGTGAATCTTGTCAGAGAGAGGCCTGGATTAAGAGACTGTGCAGTCTTGAGCTGGAGGGGAAAAGGGGGAAGAGGTTTAGGGTAAAACGTCACAGAAACTTGCAGGATATATCTAGCAGGTTAGAAGATCATAGCTTTATAACCAGGAGTCGTGGTGGTGCAGTGGTTAGAATGCAGTATTGCAGACTAATTCTGCTATTAGGTGCAACCAAATAAAGTCTAGGTCTCAATTGTATTGTCTGTATTGTCTTTGTGTTTGGACCTGACACCCACCCACTAGCACCCAGCAGCAGCAGAAGGGAAGGGAAGGGAAGGGAAGGGAAGGGAAGGGAAGATTTCCAATGCTCCTTGCCAGACTCCCACAATGAAACTCAATGAGGAATCCAGTTTCTGCTTCCACTGCTTTTTTATCCATCTTCGGTAATTTTGTTTCTCTATTTAGATAAGGAAGTACCTCTGAAACAATGACCCAATGGAAAATGGATAGGCTAGTATATGTATAGGAGGCACTCATACAATGCAATGAATTTCAGGAAAAGTTGAAATGAAGCCAGACTACATCAAATCCATGACACTACGGTTCTCCCATTCTTATTTATGCAAAAGTAATTCCCATTGTATTTGGTGGGGTTACTTTCTATTATAAGTACATAGATTGCAATCTTAATAGAGGTAGGAAACATGATCATATTCTGCATTTGCTTTTATTTATTCTTGGCCTCTGCTTTTATAAAACAATGCAAAATTGTGGTTTAATAATGTGTGAACAATTGTATAATATAAAACTAAATTTTGGTTTAATGATGCGTGAACAGGTTTGTGGGGTGATATGACAGCCACTTGTCTAAAAGCTGCAGAAAGTAGATCACCTTAAGCAATTGCTGATATTTGTCATAATAATAGAAATCTCAGTTGGAGATGGGCAATTCATTCGGATTTACACTTGGTAGTCTCTGCACTTGACCTAATTACTTCATGCAAGTAGCATTTCTTAACAAAGTGCCCACAAAGCTCTTTAGCAAAGGGAGAGGAAGACAAACTATTCGATTTGTCTGTGCTGCCAACTGGAAACTGGCAGTGGTTCTGCAGAAAACAGCTCAAGACACATAAAAAAGTGGGGAAGCACCCCGTTTAAACTTCAAACTGGGTTTTTGATCTTGAAAACATTCTAAGGTCCACCTTTCAACACACCTGCAGGATCCCCCTACAGTTGCAAAATTATTCCGATTTTAAGGCAGGGGAGGTAAAAGAGGCAGGCTAAGCTAAGCGCTTCCAAATCGTTGATCATCAATGGATTAATTATTAGCACCTCATTTTTCGGGGCTCAGAGAAAATTCGGCAAGAATCTGCACCAAGGCCTTACGAAGGCCAAGGAAGTATAAAAACAACGGAAGCGATCCATTTTGTCTGCCATAACACCTCCTCCGAAGACCGCGCTAGTAGAGAAGGAAAGAGAGCGAACCTTTTCAGTGGGGAGCTGGCCCTTTTCCAGCAATAAGCGACAGGCGGCGCCATTTGCCTAAAGTTCCCTGGATCGTCTCCGGCCTGCCAGAGAGGACCAGGGAGGTGCCTGACGGCGACGGCTCTTCTTTCGCCTACTTCGCAACAGACTCGCCCCCTTCGCATGGCCTTGACCCCAAGGGGAGGGAAGGGGGAAAGACTGGTTCTGGAACGGGTGGCCAGGCGGCTCTTCTGCCAAGACAATAAGGCCTTCAATGAACCTGCCGCCGGCATCCTCGGCAGCGCCGAAGCAAAGCCTCCGTTCTGTCGGCGGTGCTTTTCCCGCGCCCCCTTTGAATCCCGCTGTGTTACGCGGTAACCATTGAAAGGAAGCGCCGAGGGCGTAGGGGAGGGGAAGGGGGTTGAAGAGTGGCGCGCGTGGGCCCCACAGATTCTGTTAATCCGAATCAACGGGATCCCCACGCGGGACGCCCAAAGCACTCTCAAACACTTCGACTCATAGACTTCAATTGCCCCACACTTCGACTGCCCCATAGAAGGCAATCGCCCATCGGGTGAAAACGCAGCTATCTGTTAGCAAATCTGGCACTCGGTGCTCAACTTCTTGGAAGTGAGCCACTTCGCACTGCCAAGTTCCGGCTGAGATCCGGGACCTAGAGGAAAAGCCCTTGAGGTCCGACTTCCTATCAGATTGACCCCAGAGATACTGGCGGACACAAATCCCAAGAAGCCCATACCCGAGAACAGCAAAGCCACCCGGCTCACTGGAGAAAACGCGTGTTTGATTAGAACGTATGAAACGGAGAGCCGTGCGCGCGTTTGCAAAGGCGTTGACAGATTTGCCCCTCACTCTGTTGGGCGCCTCGGAGGCCGCTGGTCTCCGGTCTCAAGGACCTCAGAGCCGAGGCCTAACTTTGGATGTGGGGGGGGACGGTTTGGGGGGTGCTGGAAGAAGTTTGGAGCCGCGATTCTCTACGAAGAGCATTTTAGGGCCGCGTGTTCTCGGGGGGTGGGTGGGTGGGATTGGGGGGAGGTGTTTCAGAGTGTAAGGATGCGACGGTGCCCCGACCTTCCCTCGCGCTCTGTTCCCATTGTTGCAAAGCGCTCGCTTGGTGTGTGTTTGTTCCGCCTCCGGCGAGCGTTTGGCTCTTAACGGCGTGATTGCGTGTGCGTTTTTCTCTTGTGTGCTGTCTTCGTGCGCTGGGTGGCTTTTATTTGGTTTCTTTGCTCTCTGTTGCCCGGGATAAGGGCAAGATTCCCACTGGCAGTGCCAGGTGCAAGCTCTATTCTCTCTCGCGCGCCCCCCCCTCACCTCCCCTTTTTCGCCGCCTTCGGAGCCTGCGGCTGCCTATTAAAAAAGCCGCGCCGCGAGCCAGAGCGGCTGAATCAAGGCCACCACCGGTCCCCACGCACCCCCCACGTCAGGGAGGGGCGGGTGGGGGAAACACAAGCGGCCTCACCCCTCCTTTCCCCTTCCACCCTCGGCGAGAGCGGATGAAAAAGGACGGGCGCTGGATGGCGGGGAGGTGGTCGAAGCCAGGCCTCAAGGAAAGCCAGGGATTTCCCCGATGAGAAGCCCGCCAGGGGCGGCCGCGACCAAGCCGAGCATGCCCCCGGAATATCAACAAGCGGGGAGGCGCGCAGGGCACCAGCCAGCCCCTTGCCTTTTGTCTTTCTCTCCCTTCCTCTGCCCATCTCTTTAGCGGTAACTGCCCGGTCCCGCCTTTCCTCCCTGTAGGACCCCCGTGTTTGATGTGGTCGCAGAGGAGCAGTGATCCCCTGGCAAGCTGCCCAGCTTTGATTCTCCTTGCTTGCTTTGCATACACCCTGTCCTAAATGTTTGTGGGCATGAGTGGCAGGTGCACGCCTCTGTTTCAAAGCCCTTTGACCCCTTAAGACTCAAACGTACAGGGCCTCGGTAGCTCCAGACCCTTCTTTAGAGAAGCTGATCATGAGAAGCACCACCTGTGTAGAGATGCCTACCAACACTTTGGCACCTTTCCTTGGCACCTTTCACCCCACACCAGCCTGTCTCATGAACTGTATGCATGCATGCATGCACTCTGCAGGTCTATGTGCTATTTTCAAGAGCAAGGCCTTCAGGTAAAACTTGTCCAAATCTTTGGCTTGCTCAATTTGGTCCTGCTTTCTGTACTTCTTTTATAGGGCAAGCAGTTCCCAAAACTGTTGCCTGCCATTCCTACTTGGGGTTAAATCTGCTCTAGATTTGAGTCTTGACTCCAACCTAAGGGAAATAGCCATTTTTACTGAAGGATAAATGAATTGGGCTAGTTAGGAGGCCTGACTAGCCTCCAAGAAAGCTCTGAGCTAAGTCAGGATAGTGCCAGCCAACATTGACTGATTTTAAGAAAAATTAAGCAAGCTGGACCTTGTTTATTCTCAGATGGGAGATGACAAATGACTGTAGTCTGGGTTGAAAAGTTTAAAACAATGTATGTTATAAAGGGTGAGAGCAAACCTTCTATACCAAGGTAAACTATATGGCACTTTGTAGTGTGTACATTCCTAAGCGGCCTCCAGGAGCCCAACTGGACTCTTGCCTTACAGCCCATTTGCTGTATCTTGTCATGTTCGAATTTCTTTTAGTATGCAGTTTCTCTCAAACAAGGAATGTTATGCTTGTGGAACATACTGGGGATATAGTTGTTCCCCATCTTGTCACTCCAACTCACACTTTGTCTGGGCCGCTTATTTATTTCCCACAACAATCCAGCATTTTCTACTGCTGTTATCTCTACATGGTAGGCAAGACCTGGAGGAGAAAGCTGTGCATTTTGTCTAACCCAAAAGTGCTTTTCAAAAAGCAAATGGAATTGGGTTTTTTTTTCCCCTTAAAAAGGTTTTGCTTCTCATCCAAGAAGCTTCTTCAGTTCTGGCTGAAGAAGCTTCTTGGATGAGAAGCGAAGAAAGAAAGAAAAACCCAAGAAAGCCCAATTGCCTTTTGAAAAGCACTTTTGGGACAACCATGACCTGGATGATTGAGAATCCCTATAGGCATTTTGTCTTAAGGCAGCCCCTTGCACAAACTCTCATCTGCAACGGTCCTCCCAACAGGCTAGCAGTTATTGGCAGCTAATGCATTGCAACTGACGTTGTTGCTGGTAGACCGGCGAGGGATACCCTTTAATCGCCAACTTTGGCTACGCTGAACGTGTGCGAGCGCGAGCGCGCGCGCGCGTGTCAGGGAGGAAATTAGGGATAAGAGTTTCGTTCAAGAAGCGAGCAGATATTATTTCCGCACCAGGAACTTGCTGCAATCCGTAACAAACGTTTTCGAAAGAAAAGTGGCTCAACGTTGCGATTTGGCAGGTGAAGGAAGGAAGGGGAGGGGGAAAGAAGAAGCGGGAGGGGGGGGGGAAGAGAAGAGCTTTTCCAACCGAGACCTTTTGCTTGGAGAGCGGGGGCGGAACGTCAGGTTCAGGAGCGGAAGCGAGCGAGCTAGAGAGAGAGAGGGAGAGAGAGAGAGAGAAATTAAAATACGAAGCACAAGCAAAGATCAACTGGCAGAGGGAGGCAGCGCTCGCAGCGCTTACTCATGAGAAGCCCTGGTGCCAAATACTAACCGGGACAGGATTGCTTGAGGCGGAGGAGAGCCTCGAGTGAGCGAGAGCAGCTTCAAGCAGGACCCACTGGCTAGATTTCTTCAACTTAACTTCGGGAGCTTTTCCTTTCTTCCTCCCGCGGCTTTCTTTGATATCGTTTGTTTCCAACCGCGGTTTTTTTTTTTAAAAAAAAAAAACTTGGAAAGCTGAATTATTCGCGGGACTCCCAGGAAAGGGACCCATCGGCTGGACTGTAGCCCCGATTTGATCCAGAAGAGAAATCCGTCTGGGAGAAAGCAGCGGCTGCTAAAGAAAAGGATTTTTTTTTTTGTTTGTTTGTTTGCTTGCGACTGACCGGATCTTTTGAAGATCCTCTCTCCCTACTTGCCTCCACTTCTCTGCTTTCAGGGTAACCGGCTTTGTCAGAGAGGAGCGACCCAAGGCGCAGAACGGAGAGCGCGCCCACCGCGCAAAAAGAGGACAGCTGCAGAGCGTATCAAGGGACCGGCTTGGTGGATTGGATTTGGCGAGCTTCCCCCACAGCCGACCGCCTCCTCGTGTGGCGAAAGATAGGAAGGCATCGTTGATTGGAGTGTCCCCAGCCCGTCGCTCGAAATTGGATTGACTCTCAAATCTGCCTCGTGGATCCTCCACGCCACCCCGTCTTCCCCCTCCCCTTTGGCCCCCCGATGACTCTTGGCTAAAAAAGAGCGCTCTCTCTCCACCTCCTGCCTGCTTTTGGCTGGACGCTGCCTGCCTGCCTGAAGGCAAACCACTGACATCATGACAGAGGAGTTGGCTGCTTTGGAGCTACCCGCTGGCAAGTGACCGAGTGAGGCCGCGGGGGACTCCGACTGCCCTGGGGGAAAGCGGCTTTCCCGATCGATCCTTCTTCTGCTTCTTCTTCTCCGCCTCGCAACCTCGCAACGCCGGAGCTCCTTCGACTGGCCTTGTGTGCCCTCGCCGATTCGGACGCCGTTCTCGCCCAGATCGCGCCTTCGCCCCGCTTGGCACTCTTCTCGTGGGGCTTGTCCGTCGCTCTACCGACCGCCCTGAGCTCCGGGCGTCCGATCCGGCCGGCTCCCCGGCTCACATCTCAACCTCCCAGCGGAACTGCCCGGTGATCGGCATGGACGGGGCGGATCGGAAGGGGCCCCTGACCGCCTCGCTTCTGCTTCTGCTGGCGGAAGCGTGCTGGCTGATGCTGAGCGCCGGAGCTTCGCCGACGCCTCCCGGGGCAGCGCCCCTGGACACTTGCACCTCGTGCGGCTTCCGACGACCACCCGAAGAGCCCGGCGAAGTGGACGGCGATTTCCTGGAGGCCATCAAGAGGCACATTCTCAACCGGCTCCAGATGCGCGACCGGCCCAACATCACCCACGCCGTGCCCAAGGCGGCTTTGGTCACGGCCTTGCGCAAACTGCACGCCGGCAAGTTGCGCGAAGACGGGCGCGTCGAGATCCCCAACCTGGACGGGCAGGCGAATGGGGGGCCCGCGGCTCACCAGCAGGTCTCCGAGATCATCAGCTTCGCCGAGACAGGTGGGTGGCCCGCCAGTGTATCCCCCCGTCCACCTTCCCGCTTCGCCCTCTTGGCCC